AAAAAAAAAAAAAAAAGGTAGATGAAGCATACACAAACTGGCTGAGGGCAGAAATGTAGTGTTTTCTGAAAATCAACATCAAGAACAAGGAGTCCTACTCAGCCCTCTAAAGTAACTAACTAGGTGTCCCCTTCATCCTTTATTTAGGAATATCTTTGTTACTGTGATGGAGATATTCAGTCATTTATCCACCCATCCATTAATGCAATGAAAAAAAAAATTATTTAGTACTAAGTAGTGCCAGGCCCTAGATATTTGTATGTGGAGGGAGGTGGGGAAGGGAAGAGTAATGAAAAATTAAGGAATACCATCTTTTTCCACAAGGATTTAATAGCTTAGTGAGTGAGACCCCCCCCAAATCCTCCCAAAATGGAGGTGTCTCATTGAACTCAACCACCTGCTTTTCAAGGCAAAAGCCATATACTCCTAGAGAGAAGGAAAGCTAACAACAAAAAAAAGCACCTTTCCTTAAAAAAAGTGAGGAACTTGGAACTCGGTCTCAGTTTGAGTCTTGGCTCCTCACCTCACCAACCTGATGATCTGAATATTGTTATTTAACCTCTTCAGGCCTCACCTTCCTGCATAAACTGGGGATAGTCATTTCCATCTACCTACTATAGCTGAAGCTTAAATGAGATGATGCAAATAAAAGGACCTAACATGCCTAAGGTCCTAAGGGCTGGATCAACATAAGGAATCTGACAGTCAGCTTAGGACAGAAGGAATTGGCAATTTTGTTTTGCCTCAAGGGACTTAGAAGGGGCACAGAAAATGTATCAGCCCATCTTGGTGGACTAAATCTTCAAGTGGAAGACAGAAATGCAGTTATTTTACAACTGTCCCTCTCCCCCAAATAAGATCAGTATTTAGATTCCGTTTGTCACTATTTATGCATTTTCGTGGGGTACCAGCAAAAGGGGTAACGGATAGAGCACTGGACTTAGAACACCTCTACTATGTGACCTTGGGCTCACTTTACCTCTTCGCGCTTCAATTTTCTCATTTGTAAAACGAGAATCAAACTTCTTGCCTTAACCATTCACCCAGTTTTTGTGAGGACCCATCTCGAACGTATGTGAAACCCCTCCAAAAGTGCTACAGAGGTTGGCAAATATTTTCACCAGCAACTAGGTGTCCCTGCTTGCTTTGTCACTCCTTTAGTCTCGACCTTTATTAACGCTGTAATTTATAATCACAGAAATAAATGAAATCCTATGGTAATTTCTGGCACCAGATTCTTGAGCCCCACCCAAATACAGAGCCAAGCAGCCCGGCTGGCTCCAGACCGAAGGAAACTTAGCCCTTCTCCACCCGCGGGCGTGCCCTAGCCCGTCAGGCCCCTCCACTGAGAGTTCCGGAAGCCAATCCCAACAGCCCTCGTGCAATGCACCGCCCCTTAGAGAGGAGAAACGCAATGGCGTCCAGGAAGAATTGCAGAGCCGCAAGCCAATCACTGCCGAGGGCAGCCCTCATCCGGCAACGCACAGAGGCGGGGTCATCCGCCAAGATCGACAGCCAGAGCAGCCAATAGAGTAATCGGAAACTGGGGAGGGGCGGGTGCCGGGAGCTCACAGAGCAGTTAAGGCCCCTGGAGCCGCCGGCCCAAGGACCCGGCTCGGACTACAAGTCTTCCCTTTATTCATTTCAAAGCTCTCCATCCCGTGGCTGCTGACCGGCCGCCCTGCCTGCGGACTATGGGTGGGAGTAAGACGGAGGTAGCGGCGGTTGAACCCGCCTGACAGGCCGGGCCAGTGACAAAGAGCTGGCGGCCCAGGCTGAAACCGGGAAGCGATCCCTTCGGGGAGGAGAGCATATGTCCCTTTAGAGATAGGAAAGACGCAACTCACGTTGTCGATCACAACAGGCTGGTTGGCGATAACATCGTAGGACTCCATGGCAGAGGAATCTCTCCCTGCAAGGAAGGAACTGCCTGCCCGGTCCGCGGCTAGTGCCACTGACGCGCATGCGCAGAGTAGTCGCCGGTGCAGCGCGGTCAGGGAGCGGCCAGACCTCACCTCCAAAGAACTACAACCCCAGCATGCCTTGCACCCGCAGTTAAAGGGCCAGGCAGTTTCGAAGCCACGCCTAGTTTTAAGAGACTGGGTGTAGCGTTCGGGAGGCACGGTACCCTGGGTTTTGTAGTCTCCATAGATAAATGGAAGGGGAGCAGAGTTTTTCCTTTCTATTGAATTTATTGGGGTGACACTGGTTAACAAAATTATACAAGTTTCAAGTGCACAATTCTACAACACATCATCTGTACACTGTATTGTGTGTTTCCCACCCCAAGTCAAGTCTAGGTCCACCACCATTTATCCCCCCTATACCCTCCTCCTCCCCCAGCAATCACCATACTGTTGTCTGCGTCCATGAGTTTTTTCTTTTTTGCTCAATCCCTACACACACACACACACACACACACACACACACACACACCCCAACAGCTGTCAGCCTGCTCCCTATGAGCCTATCTCTATTTTACTTGTTGGTTCATTTTGTTCATTAGATTCCACGTATGAGTAAAATCATATGGTACTTGTCTTTCGCTGGCTGACTTATTTCTCTTAGGACTCGCCAGGTCCATCCATGCTGTCACAAAGGATAAGATTTCCTTCGTTTTTACTGTCTAGTAGTATTCAATTGTGCAGATGTACCAGTTTTTATATCCACTCATCTACTGATGGATGCTTGGGCTGCTTCCAAATCTTGGCTATTGTAAATAAGGCTGCAGTGAACATAGGGGTGCACATATTCTTTCGAATTAGTGCTTTGGGTTTCTTTGGATAAAGTCCAGATGTAGAATCACTAGGTCATAAGGCAATTCCATTTTTAATTTTTGAGGCAACTTCATACTGCTTTTCACAGTAGCTGCACCAATCTGCCTTCCCACCAACAGTGCACAAGGGTTCTTTTTTGTCCATGTTCTGGCCAACACTTGTTTGTTGATTTATTGATGATAGCTATTCTGACAGGTGTGAGGTGATATTGTGGTGTTTTGTTTTTTTAATCCTCACTCTAGGACATGCTTAGAGAAAGTAAGGGGGGAGAGAGAGAGAGAAAGAAAAAGAAAGAAAGAAAGAAAGAAAGAAAGAAGGAAGGAAGGAAGGAAGGAAGGAAGGAAGGAAGGAAGGAAGGAAGGAAGATGTGTTGTGTTGCCTTCCCTACACTCCCTGACTGGGGATCAAACCCACTACCCAGGTATGTGCCCTGATTGGGATTCAAACTGGCAACCTTTTGGTGTATGGGACAATGCTCAACCAACTGAACCATTCCGGCCAGGTTCATTGTGGTTTTAATTTACCTTTTTTCTGATGATTAGTGATATTGAGCAGTTTTTCATATGTCTATCAGCCATCTGGATGTCCTCTTTGGAGAAGTGTTTATTCAGGTCCTTTGCCCATTTTTTAATTGGATTGTTCATTTTTTTGATGTTAAGTTTTAAAAGTTCTTTATAAATTTTGGATATTAACCCCTTATCAGATGTATCGACAAATACATTCTCTCATTCAGTGGGTTGTCTTTTCATTTTGTCGATGGTTTGCTGGACAAAACCTTTTTAGTTTGATGTAGTCCCATTTATTTATTTTTTCTTCTGTTTCAAAGGGGATGCAGATTGATGGTTGTGTTGCATGCTTGGATCTGTAATCCCTTGTAGGGATTCACAGTGCATGCTGAAGTACTTGTCTGTAGTTTGCTTTGGATTGGTCAGTAATTTGTGGGTGTTTGGACTTTATAGATCAGTCCTGCCACTCCCCACCACTTCTCCTGGTCAAATAAGTTACTATGCTCTTATTTGGGTCTGTAAGACATTAATAATACCTATCGCCATCACACTCTAATAAAAAAAATTTAATACACACATGGGGAAGGACATATTCCCAGAACAAAGGAAAATAATTTAAATTGCATAAAATTTGCCTTTTAGGAAAAGAAAAGTACATTTTCTTTGCTTCTTTTCATTTTTTCCTGGAGAGGAGTCAACTTTGCAACAGGCTAACATTTGTCTGAAGACCGGCATTTGGAACAACTGGTAAAGAATTGACATTGATAAGTGAGAATATAGAGGGAAAGAGAGGGTATGTGTCAGTGCTTTCAAATCAGCTCAGTGCATTTTTCTCTAGATTATTTTCTCCCCGATTCAAGTTGCAGGAACCCTTTTAGTCAATAGCACTGGTAGTCAGGACTCCCTTCTATCCCTGTCTCTTGGAATTTCTTTAAGATCATTGAGTGGAAGACATTACTTTTTGAAAAGTTATTGTAAATAGGAAAATAATTCCCAACCCAGTGCCTTAGGAATGAAAAATTCTCCCAGTTAAGAGTGTCAAGGTAATGGGGAATAACAGGGAATACCAAATAATGAATACTGGTGTTCCTCAAGGCTGTCTGCATACCTCTGCCTAGGACACAACAAAGAAGAGACTGTCATCACTAAAGACATTGATTAAATAATTATCTGTCTGGCCTGTGTGGCTCTCCGGTTGCGCATCTACCTATCCAGGAGATCAGGGTTCAATTCCTGGTCAGGGCACATGCCTGGTTTGCCGGCTGATCCCCAGCAGGAGGCCTGCAGGAGGTAGCTTATCAAGGACTCTCATCATTGATGTTTCTATCTCTCTCTCCCTTCCTCTCTCTGTAGTCAATAAAAACATTTTAAAATAATAATATTGTTGTTTTTAATAATTATCGTCTTTATTATTATTATTTTTTATCCTCACCCAAGGATATTTTTTTCCATTGCTTTTCAGAGAGAGTGGGAAGGAGGGAGAGAGCGAGCGACAAACATCCAAGTGAGAGAGACACACAGGTGAGCTGCCTCCCGCACATATGGGGAGAGGAGCCTGCAGCAGAGGTAGGTGCCCTTGGCCTGAATCCAACCTTTCAGTCCCCGGGCCCACGCTCTAACCAATGAGCCAAACCAGCTAGGGCAGAAATAATGATCATTTAAAAAATTGATCCTAGCTTACCTAATTCTTGTTACTTTCCGACAGAACTCCAAAATAGGTATTCCGACATATGACCCCTGAATTTGACGGTGTGTCAGTCAATAACTGTCAATGGACATTCAAAGACATAGGAAACATTCTGAATTATAGTCTATTAAAACTAATGCCGCATGGACGAATGAATCAACCCATTGCCAGATTTATTTTTAAGTAAATATGGTTTGCGTGTCAGCAAACCTGTGACAAGTCCATTGTCGGCGAACTTTCCAGTGGTTTCGCGGGACCCTAGCACCTCAGAAGGATGCTTACACATCTCCGTTTAAACCTGGGTTCCTCTTAACACTAGGGGGAGGCCAAGAGCTTTGGGACGCCTCCACCACAAGGAGAGGGAGGCGGAACCTATTGCCAAGGCACGCCATTTATGTGACTGGCACAGACTTTAGCCAATGGAATCCGGGGTAGGGCGCGCCGGTGCCCCGCCCCCTTGAGCGGCCCGCGGCCCCCGAGGCACCCTCTGGCCCGCTCCGCAGCCGCGACGGCCTGGGCNAGGCGCGGATCTTAGACCCCGCTGCAGCCCCCTACGCCTGGGGGAGTTGCACCTACGGGGTCCGCCCGCTGGCGCGTCAGTGCTCTCCCGCTCGTCCGCCCTCCCGGGTCCTCCCAGCGCCCTACGCGCCGGGATGGCGGAGCTGCGGCCTAGCGGCGCCCCCGGCCCCACTGCGC